GACTAATCAATCACACTAACCTCATCGACAACTGCCTCTCCTTCGATCCCTTTGCTCTAGCCATAATATCTTTTAAAATCCCTATAAAACATTTAATAGGCACAAAAATAAAGTTATCTGTTGATGCATATGGTAATGTCTTTGACCTGACTAATATGCTCTATATTCATGCTAGGGAAAACTGATGTATGCTGTAAAGATATGTGGTGATTAAATGTAAATAAAAATGCATTTTACAAAATATCTTTTAAAATCTCCCATAGTTGCCATAACTCCTTTCTACCACAGAGCTTTTGCACGTCCCGTCCTCTGTGCAGTTCTATGTCCTCCACCTTCACCCGGTACATTCCTAGAGCAGCACTTCCCAAGAAAATCTTATGCAATTTTCATAGTATACACTCTTATACATGGTCTATTTCCTCAGGAAACACTGTTGCAATTTGACATTTGTTTGTTTATTTGATTGACATCTGTCCTACTGGACTTCATGATTCATGAGTATAGAGTCACATCTATAAGGTACACTATGGTGTCCCTGGTACCTAGCACTATAAAAATTCAAAAATATATTTTTAGGGTAAAGACTAAATATAAGAATTTAAGGAAAGCCAGCATTCAGGTTCAATAACAAACTATCCTCCAGACAGGATAATCACATGTCTTAGACCAAGTTCATTGACTTTAGGTTATTAGGATTATATTGCTGGCCCAGCCTGGTGGTGCAGTTGGTGCATATTGAACCATACTGCTGGAGACCACAAGGTGAATCCTGGCTTAGTTCACTTTGGGCATGCTGAATGGATCTTGACAAGCTAGAGAGCTAGGGATGGAGGATGATGTCATAGCAGATGCTGTTGAGGGTGCTTCTCTCTCTCTCATGCACACACACACTCCATCATAATAAATAAATAAGTAGACAGATAGATAAATAAAAACAATTTAAAACTTTTATATTGTTACTATTACTACTACTTGTGGGAGTATTACCACGACTTTTCTTCCTAATATTCCCATTACTACGGCTGCTTTCAGTAACAACATTATCAGCTCCCTAAGGCACTTGTCGCAACATGATAAATTGAAGGCAGGTTATACTTTTCCCACTGATCCTAATAACTAAAATGCATTAAAATCTTAGAATCTGAAGCATTATGGGAACTAGGAACACTCAAACTAAGGAAATGTAGATCACAATCATCCAAAAATCAGAGAGTTGCATTTCTTAGAATAACTCAAAAGCTCCTTAGCCTAGGAGCATATGCTGTCAAGAGAAAATGGGAAAGAAACAAATGCAGAAATGTTCGTTATATTTCCACTCTTGTCCACAGCCTCAGTGCACTAAGAAGCAGAGAGAGTGAAAAGAGAACTGAATCTCTTGTCGGCTAGGCCTTCAGGGAACTTTGGGACAAGATTCGCACACACACTGTTCTGTGAACAGATGAGGGAGAATGACTCAGATCATAAAAGAAAGGAAACAGGAAGAAGCGATTAACCCAACTGCCTTTGGTCCCTCAGCATTTTCATATTTCGATGTCTATAGGCCTCTTCCATTTGCATCTGTTTATATACTTCAGAAGTGTTTGCACTTCCTGTGTGTTTGGCTTACCCAACTAGCTTGCAAACTTGAAGATCACTCAGGTACATAAAAAGGAAATGGTGCAAGTAAGAGACGGAGAAAAATAAGATCAAGAGAATGAAGGGGAAAAAGAAAATGCTCTACCAAATGGGGCTTGGCAAAGCTCTTGCATGACAACTGCTTCCTGTGTTAACGGCCTACTCTTTAGCTCCACACTGACTTACATTTTGGTCATGCAGAAGTAAAGGCTTTTTTTTTCTCCCTTCTATTTATCTCTTTTCCATTTTGCTCCTTTTGCACCCAAATGCACAATACCAGAACCATTAATCTAGTGCTGAGGTGATAGCAGCCGAGTTACAATCAGAAAATGGAAAATTTTTAATCCAAAAGTGTCCAGGTGTGGTTTCTGCTTCTTCAGTGACTTGCAGTTTTTAGTAGCTACAAGCTTAGCTCCCTGGGGCTGCCCTTTATTTTAATATGTTTTCCTTAAAAGCAATACAATACCACTTGCCCTTATGGATAATATAGTATCTCTTCTCTATCACTGTCTTCATTATGAGCCATCGTATGTCCTGTCTTCTATGGAGTACATCAAAGTTGCCAGTTCTCAATGAAGTAAGCAGCAGGTCTGCAGATACATACAGCACTACTGTTGTTACAAGCAGAAGACCTACAATCTATGTCTGAAGCTAAGGTCAACATGTACTTGGGTTACAGTATGGTACATGTGCTATTGGGTTCCCAATTGGGCAAATGTAAAAAGAGAGGGAGGAGGGCTCCTTTTTAATAAGAATCATGAAAAAGAATTACTTAGTATTATTATTACTACTCTTAACGAAAGCTACTGTTTATCAAACTTACACATTTTGACAGGAACTATGCTAAATACTTCACACAGATTATCTTTTTTTTTTTTTCTTTTTTTTCGGAGAGGTTTTTGCTATAGGGCGCATGAGCTCGCCAGAAAGACAGAGAGAGACAGAGAGACAGAAAGCAAGAAATCACCCCCCAGCGGGGATGGCCATGCCACAATCCCTTCTCCTCCATTCTCCTCTCGGGATTTCGGGCACGCACGCACATGTGCCTGGTGTGAGCTTAAGCTGCCGGGTCTGGGACTCGAATCACAGTCAACTACATGGGAGTCCAGCGACATAGCCATTACGCCAAATGCTGGTCCCCCCACACAGATTATCTTTTTAAAAAACATCAAAACAATGGTACCTATGAAAGAGGTACTATGATATCAATAGTCTTACTGTAGGGAA